GACCTATATGCTGCTTTTCTATTGGGGTCACAGGAATCAATTCACTTTTCTGAAGGTTAACCTTATAACCAGACACGTTTCCATATTTGTTATCTTTCTGTATATGTTTATGTCTTAAATGTTCTGCCTTCAAAGAACTGGATCCAGAATCAGAAATGCTTTGATGCTAATTTTATTGATTCCATGATATTTTTTTCAACGTGTGTCTGAGATATTGTAAATATTACAGAAAATGCTGTAAATGTAAACCAAAATAAGATCTTTCAGAGAACAGTAAATTACATTAACAGCTGCCCATATTTCTTCTTGTTCCCTTCCACCATCAGCTATAATTTGCACCAGACTCCTCTTCCTAAGGACCCTCTATGACTTAGTCTCCTCGGTCTTGGACCCCCTCCATCCATGCTGGTAAAGAACACAGCTGTGGCACTTCCTACAGTAAGGCCTGCAGACTGATGCTAAATGAAGCTTCAGTCATTTCATTCTGACCAAAGCTTCTAACAGTCAGGAACGGGTGGTTTCTCTTTGGTCAGCAGAGCTAAAACAATTGGAGTCTGGACTGAATAAAGGACTTCTRTGTTCACTGATTTGTGTCAATCCAATGAGAAAGGGATGAAAACTGAGTGGATCCTAGATTTTTTTAAGCAGGTCAAAGCTGCTTGGAGTCAAACTGATTAAAAATGGTTGTCGCACTTGTTGAACCTTAGTAGGTACGACATAAAACTCAGTTATAGCTAAATGATTGTAAAAATTTAGTAAACATTTACAGATGCTGGGCTAAAAGTTTTGGTGGTAGCTGATCATTGTTTACAACATTTTGAGGTCATGCTACAGTGGATAAAAGCTCGCAGTGAACGTAATCATTTACCCAGTAGCTATGCTTTGCAGCATTAATAATATGGTGTCATTCGTGTGGCATCATATTTTTTTATTTGTAAAAACTACACAGCCTACAGTACTTTAACAGTTGAAGTAAATGTTAATCAAATAATTTCTAATGTTACAACCAGTCATGGTTCCCTTTAAAAAAGCCAGACCTTTGATCCGTTCTGTTTTTGTGTACTTTTCTTAAAAAATACTGTATATTATTTTTTCTTACAAACTGGACATTTATTTTTTCATGAACTGCAACTATTTTTCCTCTGATAGCAGAGCAGAGGCTCAAAAAGAAGAATCTGGAGACATCTTCATTTATGTCCACAGTTTATGTCAAAATAAAAGCAGATTTTAGGCTGAGGTTTTAAACACTTTGTTGCATTCAGGGTTATTTAATCAAGTGTTTTGTATTGGCATCATTGCATGTTCCYATRCAATAACAAACTGTTCTTTACATTTGACCCCTCACATCAGATACACCCAACTGGAACAGCTGGCAGCAGTTAAAGAATACATGTCTTGCTCAAGAACACCCCGACATTCGGCCATGGTGGGAAATCAAATCTGTAACCTTCAGTTTTACAGTGAAATAATTCAATAATTCAACGTTGCCCTGAAAAAAATAAGGTTTTGTTTTCTRAGTACTGTAAACTCTGTTGTGGTCATTTTAACAGGTAAGTGGTTTGTATTATATATGTTTTAAGTCTTGTTTGTACTGAACAGGCTTTGATTTATGACCCAAACTTATAGTTTACACTCACACATTCATGCAGCACACGGCTTCCCTCCAACTCTAAACTCTAGCTCTATAAATACAAGATGGCAGCACCCGTAATACAAATATTTCATTTTCAGTTTTGGTCTGTCTATCCATCTTTATTTATCCTAATGGTTTTAAGAGAAAGCATTGCAGTTATGTAGGTCAAATAGTTTTATTCTTATCTGGCTACCTGTTTTATTCTGACATTCTTGAAGTGCAATAATGTTAGTTAGATGTTTTAATGTTAAAAATTATGCAGCTTTTTGCAGTGGTAGATCTAGGATTTGTCTGGGGGGGGCAGTATTTGTTCAACATCCTTACACAAAAATCCATGGTTTTGGAAAGATGTACACATTTAACCAGTCACACATGCTCAAACACTTGTGATGTAATGTAAAAAAAAAACTTGCACAGTAAATTCTCTTTACCAATTTTAAATGATTTTTTACTGTACATAGATAAAATACTCTCAAACACACAGCATGTGTGAAAATCCAGCCATCGCTTGTCAGGTGAAAGACTTTTTCTGCAGGATTATTYAAATCTTTTATTTCTATTTCAATTTGACTAATTAGCGCCAGTGGTGTTTGGACATGGAACTGCACCCATCATCTTCACTCTCAGGTGAAGGACAGATGAGTGCAGAGTTGTAAAATAGTACAAGTACTTTGTTACTGTACTTAAGGTTGTAATCTGTCGTCCTATGTAGAAACACAGTATTTCCACCTAAAGTCATTGCATTCATTGGCCCAGTGAAGGGGCTGTTAATCAAAAACATGGGCCACCRCACTAGCTGCTAGCTTCATCATTTAAAAACAGGACTGTACTTAAGAAGTAGTTGTATTTCATGAATTATATGATTGCCTTTAGCAATYATAWAATTATCWATCTGCAGCCCTCAGATAGATTTTCATTTTGGGGAAAAGCTTTGTGCAGCCTTGATATATGTATATAAACTGAAACAGCTGGACTAGTGCATCCTAAATTTAACATAAATTAATTATTTTAATACAACAGTCATTTCTGCATTTTTTGGGGGAGGTCACCTCCTAATAAATGTCCTTACAGAAAATCTGACTGCTCGTTTTAAATCAATACTTTTACTTTTAATACTTAAGTACAAAAAATATCAGATACTTTAACACTTTTACTCAAGTAATATTTCTAAAGAAGACTTTAACTTTTTTAGTAAGGTATTTGTACTTTTACTCAAGTAATATTTCTAAAGAAGACTTTAACTTTTTTAGTAAGGTATTTGTACTTTTACTCAAGTAATATTTCTAAAGAAGACTTTAACTTTTTTAGTAAGGTATTTGTACTTTTACTCAAG